ACTTTCTCTATGTCATCAGCACAAGTGGAGGGACAGCTCCCAACTCTAGCCCAGTCACTCACAAGAAGAAAGAAGCGGATAATAGGCTTTCGGCCAATCCTGTTCAACGCACATGCTGCATGCTTGTTTAACATGTCCATTCTGCTCTGCTGCTCCACTCCTGTCCATGTAAACACCAGCGATCAGTACCGTGAGCATGCTAATGCCGCTCGAAGTTGATGCATTGATGCCATTGATGCCTAAGCATACAAAGTTCACAGTGCACTTTTGTGAAGCTTTCCTGCCCCTGTATATCTCAAAAGTGCCGCGCAGAATAAGCTCGGATTTTGCTTGTTGTTGAGGTCCAGTCTGCAATTGCCCGGCCATTTCAACCCGAGTGATAAAAGTGTTTGACGTTTTCGTGATCTTTAGCACTTTTTGTGCAATGCTCAAGTACTTTTCGTCACATCTTGAATTTAGACATGATGAGGTTTGTGGTTGTCAAGGTCGTGCTGGTTTCGAGCATGCTGACGCCGTCCCACTTGCAGAGTCGCTGTCATTGGGGGAGAGCGACTTCATTTGGATTGCCACCAGGTAAACTTTTGACATGGTGAACATTATTAATCAATCGCTTTATGAAATGGTCAGCAGAATGAAATCATCGCAATACTTGCCGGCAAAACTTTAGCAAGGTGATTGGAGACTGCTTCGAACAGCGGGGAGAACAAGCTGGACTCGCCCTCTAATCATTCACCGCCTTTCACACAGGTACAGCGGCTGAGGATGTTGCGTGCAGCTTGGCTTAGCACCACACTCTTTTGGGCGCAATGGACCTAAGCGGGGGCTCACAGCCTTGAACTAACAAGCAGCCCAGCCTTAAATCCACAATTCAGCCCTGACACGGAGAGGGACCAATCAGGGTGAGACCGTTCTTGCGGGACGCACACATTTCCTTGGAGGCCTTAGCTACAAGAAAGTCCTCACAAAGTCCTTCCTGCTACGTCCTTCATTCCAAGTGGAACAAAATGAGCTACATTCATGAACACACACACACACACACGGCACGCACACACTTCGCCCTTGTCAGGTCCTTGATGTCTCCAGCTGCGTTCTTTTCATGCATCCTCTATCTCTATCTCTCTCTCTCTTCGTGTGTCGCCAAGTTGCTGGACCCGCTGGGACAATGGCCATTCTGTGGCAGTGGCCATGGGCACTGAGTCATGCTCTCAACCTTAGCCAACGTCTCGCACAAAGTCTCATCAGATATATATATATATACTATTGTCAATTTACTGCAATTCCATTAAATCAAACTTTGGGATTTACTTCTTTGTTTCATTCAAAAAAGTTGGAACAATCCTGTAGGAAGCAGAGCTGTGCTGCCAGCTGATTGTCAGTTCCTGTAGCCAGCTGAAAGCGAGGCACAAAAGCATCGAAGGGGTCTCCGGAGAAGTATTGAAACCAAGACCTCTGCAGGTTCCTTTCTTGAATTTGACAAAATTATCAAGCAGCACTACCTTCAAAAAGCTTGGTCTCTGCAAAATTCTTCTGCAGGTAAGCCACATCCAGAAAACAAATATCAGGATCATTGAAATCTCTGGCGCCGGAACTGCAGGCATGAACGATTCAGGGGTGTTTCAACCACACTTTTGTGAGCAAACCACCCTTGCCAAAACATCATACAACTCATGCAAACTCGGCTCTCTTGATGTTCAGCGTCACTTGCTGCCTAAAGACTGGTGCTTTGACCAATATTTCTTCACAGCACAGCCTGAAGCCTTGCCTCCTTTGTCACTCACAAGGAACCATCGCAGTGATGCTGCACACAATGTCAAACAGGCGTACAACGGCAGGTTTGAGAACCGGCCTGCAAAACTGTGTCCAGTCCTTTTCAAGTGAATCTGCAAATATCTGCATCATGTTCCCCAGCTTCAAAGAAGAAACACATAGGCAGTGCTAATTCTGTCAAACTTCCAAGGGAAACACACAAAGTCACTATGATAGTTGTACTACAGTGGGACTCTCGCATGACCGGAGCATACGGGTCTGGCCTGCTTGGCCAAGGTGATGCGCCCTGGGCATCTGGTCTTCATACTGTTGATGATTCTGACTCCTAGAGCACTGTGACTTAGGCGAAATGCGCATGACCTCCCCGGATGTTGCAATTCTGTCGAGGTGGTAGACTTACCGATATTGCCTACACAAGTCCTGATGTTCACAGAATTCTGCAAGAGGGAGACTTTCAGCAAAGAAGTTTCATCATCATCGCCTCAACCGATCATTGCCCACTGCCAGGTCAATGAGTCAAGCACCCCAGCGGACTGTCTATTTGGCACTGGAATGTAAGTTGTTGCTTCTTTTGCATTGGCAAACTATGCCCAACTTGTGACTTGTGGTGCCCACAACTATCGATCACACACTTCGACCTGTTGTGAGTTGCGACCCCCAATTTTGTATTGAGGTCTCCACCAACATGTGGATGAAAGCACTGGGAAAGATAAAGGAGTCCCCATGATGCTGGTAATGTTAATTTTACTAAGGAACTAAATTTGCATATCTTGTAATATGTGAAAGGAGTCTGAGATGTCTGCGTTGTGGTTTTGTTTGGTCACGAGTCACGTCAATTCCTCATGTGATTGGTAATTAATCGGTGGTGTTTTGTGTCCTGTGCATGATCCGTTCAGATGATCTGCGGTAGATAGTGGTGTCCTGCCATCTGTTCTTGGTGACTTTTGGTGTCAGATTTTCACGTTGAGCACGTCAATGTAATTCAAAACAACGAACACTTGGAAAGCATCTCGACACCATGTCTTCTGAACCGTTTCCATAAACTAGTTTAAAGCCAATTGTATACGTTCTTTGCTGCTGTGCTTCTTTGCTTGTGCTTTCTTCTCGTTTCGTTGAGCATGTTTTGTTCGCTCCTCAAAAACCCACTTTCTCAAGATTCTTGATGCGCTAAGGTACATGTGTCAGCTTCCGCAAACGTGCATATCACCACAAAGACCACCAATTTGTAGCCTTAGAAGCCGTTGTTGGACAAGTCCGAACATCCAAAACTGAAGAAAGTCATAGTGAAGTCTACTCAAGAACTCCCCTTTGTTCCTAGCGTCCTTGCTCCTAGTAGTATGGCCAGGAGCCCCTAGTAGCTTCTTGCTCCTAGTAGCGATGCCAGGAGCCCCTAGTAGCTTCTTGCTCCTAGTAGCTCCAGAGTAGGAAAAAACAACAATATTAAAAGGTGATCAAACCTTTGCAGCTGAAGGTCTCCATCTCATGGCCAGCTCTTCACGAAGCTCGGCAGAAACATCGAAGCATGAAGAGTTGCAAGAGCGACTCGAAGAGTTCAACTTGCTTCTTTCTGTTTCTACTCAAAACCAAGTTGCAACCAGAAGGGATACTGCCCTAAAGTGCATGAAACGGACAATGTAAGTTGGGTCCAACCTAGATGTAATGGACAATCAATTCTTTAGTTTTTTTTAATGAAAATTAGTCAGTGGGTTCGGTGAAACAGAGGGATAGGATTTCTTCCCTCTAGGACCAATGAGCCTGCAGCGCGAATTGAATAGGTCAATGCGTGCTCACAAACTGTGGAAATGTTCTTGCGCTGGACAGGTGCATGCCCACAAGAAAACGGCACACGATGTTGGGATTGAATTGCTTCATTCTCTAGTGCTCTTGGCAAACAGTTCTGTCGAAAAGAACTAGCTTCCGGGTTGAACTTGGCTCCGCACCCACCTCATCACTGGCCTAGCTCGACTTGAGAGGAAAGGTGTGCTCTCATCCAAACATCATGGTGGTGCCACTCTGTCATTCAACGGCATAAGTACACCATTCTAAAGTCGATACCATGATCATGAGAAAGCCACTTCGCGAGTGGTTGCATGTCGAAGGATGAACAAACAAACCGGACAACCGCAATCAAAGCTACATCACCTGTCAGGTAGGAGAAGCACGGAGAGGCGATGTTGCCACGCCGTATCATCCGTGTCTGAACCGAAAGTTTTTGGCTCTTGCGAGGGAAAGGTTAGGGGCGTGGCCTGTTGATAGTCGGACTTCGGCGAGCTTGCATTGCCTGCTTGCTGAAAGGATTTACATTGCAATTGCTTCTGCTTGGACACAAAAATAAACTGGCGGCTAAAAGCAAGACCCAAAGGCTTGATCTCTCACAAACAACTGTCGAGCCTGACAACATGTTATGCAGCCTTGAGTCCAAGCCCCTTCAACCAAAAAATAGAGGCTTTAAAGGGGTCCTGACCTCTCTTTCTACATATTTCACTTCAAGACTGTTCACAAAACACACCCTGACAGTCGGCTCCTTGGTCGACCTTTGCTACGTTCTCCATGTACCTCAAAGCTCCATGATTCGTGAAAACCCTACATCGCTTGCGATCCAAAGCTTAAATATGCTTAGGCTTAAACCATGGTTGGCCATCATGAATGAATACGTCGAATTCGACATTTCCGAGCTTTCACGCGATGTGAATTTGGCCTCAATCATGAAGCTTTGGCTCTGTTGATCAACCGAGTGGCACAGGCAGTTCGGTTGATTTCCGTCTCAGCCCTTGAGCCGAAACGGCGACTGTCCAGGTGGCTTTGTGATGATGTCACCGAAGAAAACATATGACCACTCCGAGGAAAGTTCAATAACTCAGAATCTTCTAGCGAAGCTGGGGCAGTGGAGGCATACCTCCTGCAATGCAAGGGTGTCAAATCTAAGTTGCTACAGAATCACACCAAACTACAGAGCCTTTTTCCTTCCACTCCTTCAGGAGTAGCGGTGATTTGGTCCAGGCCACAAAGCACTCTGTACACCATTGTACACCCGCATAAACCGGCCTTCGAACAAGAATTTGCGGCGACTGTTCAGCCACAACTTTACAAGTTCCAGGGCAGCCCTCACCCAAGTGTGAGCCCTTCCACGTCAAATCTGCAAAATCTTCTCTTGCATGCTCTTACTAGTAGTACGAGTAGGGAACAAACAATTCAATCGGATTTACTTCAACTCTTCAAACAATTTCGTTAACCTGCAACGTCTGTCAACATGGCTGGGCTCACATCGAAAGAGCAAAGCCTCTGATGGTTTCAAACCAAAACTAAAATCTGGTCACGGTCACCCTGTTCAAGGGCCCTCAAAACCATTCTCACTGGATACGTATGTGATCATGACAGAGATCCCTGGAGTCAGCACTGAACGAGCAGAGTGACTCTGGTGCCGGCGATTTAAGCATTTGCCTCAAAATCCGCAGATAGAAACTGTTCACCGGCATTCTGCTACAAATCGACACTTGAACCATCAAGGAATCGGGGACCATCAGTTGCTGTCTTTATCTTTATTTGCAAACGGTGCTTGGAGGTCCACTACAGCATTGACATTGTTGAGCATAGCCGGTTTCGAGCCTCTTTGCCTCAGCGCACTGGACGGCAGTGCCGGGTGATGGGACTGCAGCGTGCTGAGCAGCACTGAGCATTCACCCAGCAAGGTTGATTCAAGCCCAGACCTCAATTTGAGCCATCCTGAATAATTACGGTGAACATCCCCACACGGCAAGATGAACTTTGGCAACAAGTGTTTAAAGCTTGTGCAACAGGAAAAAAGAACTTTGGAGCGTACCCTGCCTAAATACAATGACATGTCAGACAAGATTCAGGTCCGCAGCGAGAGCGATGAGCCCTCCTCTATTATATTCAGCGGGGCTGTCGCATTTGCAATTGCAGTGGTGTTGTCCTCCTTTTGTGCCTGGCAGGTCTTGCCCATACAGCAGTCTTCCACCAAAAAACATACAATAAGAAACATTGGCCGCATAATGCCACATCAGCTGTTCACATCTTAGAAGAATCCAAAAAATGTAGCTATGGCAGGAGCTAGGAGAGTCAATGTCAATCCACCACTTCCTGTCCTTTTCCTTGGCCCACACTTCGGCATAAATCACTTAAGATCAGTTAAAGTTTTGTGCAACTGTTTCATAGGCGAGTCCTTCGAAGGTGCCAAGAAGTCTGCTTCCACGAAGATCAGGAGCAGCACACCAAGGAGAGCTCTAGGCGCCATAGGGCAAATGAGACAAATCTACCAAGTGTCTGCAAGCCAAAAACGCTTCCAACCAATATGCACATCGACAATCTAGAGCACTAAGATTTGTATTAGAGGATGCTGGTTTCGGACTGGATGGGCTCTCTGCGGTTCACTGGCTTGCATCTTCCTCTACATTCTTCTCCGCATTTCACATATCTCGCTTCTGTTTTCTCGAGTCTTTGCTCGCTGGAATAATGTGGAAAAATCACTTTCATTTTGAGAAAGTGGCACCATCGTCATGCGAACCATTGCCCTCGGGTCTGAGTCCTTTCTTGCACACCCCGAAATGCAGCTGTCGAACCATTTGCTCTTTCTGGCCAAGATGGCCAAGGGAACGACTCTCAGAGATGACCAAGATGACCTTCACGTTGAAGCTGGTTCTCCTTCTGGCCTTTTGGACCTTTGAGTCAATCAGCCATCGGTTCCGCGTTCGACTCAATCAGCATCTCCAAAGTTGCCTTGCAAAACTTCCAACGACCTCAGACGCACCAAATGCTCAGATCATCCAAAATGCTGCAGCTGCCTGGCTGCCTGGCTGATGGTGTCACACACCTGTGCCTCCAACTCTCCCAACTCCCTCTGGGCTCCTTGCACACCAAGATGCCCTATGCCATCACCATGATCGAACCTCAGATTCATCCGGAACGACTCCAAGCTGTGGAAAAATCGCACAGCCTCAAGAGAATATGTGAATATGTTTCCACTAGGTTTTCCTACATGGCCGCAGGCACAAAACAATTAGAGTTGTTGTCTCGAACGAGCAAACATCTCGAAAATATTCTACAGGGAGCTCATGAGCTCATCAATTGTAAATTCGGAATATTCAGAGCTGTTCTGTGAATGCACCCGCACTGATTGGCCATGTCACGGCAACGGCAAAGGTCGCTGCTGCCTGAAGCAACTACGGTTGGCTGTTCGCCATTTTGAAACCAAAAGGAACCACCAAACCCAATGTGAGCACACCTGCAACGCATCAAAAATTGCTGCAAATCTTCCTCCACAAGCAATCTCCATTCAACTGACCAATTGCTGGCCAAAGCGACCTGCTTTGCAGCCGCACAAAGAGTCTGGAACACAGACTTATTGCACTCATAGGACTCTCAACGGATTGAGAAGGCATGAGAAGACACTGTGGGTTGTTGAGCAGTCAACTAGTCAACTGAATACGATAAGCCCGTTGGAAAAAGCCGTTCCGCGAACACGCAGGTCTTCTTTGAACAGAACTTCCCAACCATGGCTGCTCAGCTGTTGCGGGCATATCATTCATGTTGAGCTTTACCCGAACTATGTAGCGGTTTGCTATAGAACCATGTAATGTGGAAAGTTGAAATCACTCGTGATCCAGTCATTTCCAGTTGTGACCGTTGAGGTTACCATGCAAGTTTTGGGAGTCTATGAGTTGAAGCTCTAGCTATACAGAAGGTCTCCAATGTGGCCATTGTCAACCTTCGTTGTGGATGGATTGCCAACCTTGGTACCCTGATCAACCGATCCAAATGCCTGCATTGGCTCAAGGCCGAGCCATTCGTCGTTTGAACGCATGACACGAGTCATAGCGAGAAAAGGTGCGTTACATGTGCAGTTGGGTCGGGTCATGTCCCTGTTTCCCTTTCATGCTTCATGTTGGTTTCCCACCTGTTCCAAACTGGTTCAGAAATTCCGCATGGTAGTAGGAGTAGACTGATCCAGTACCTTTTAGGGAACCATAGCACATCCTTCCGAACACAAGCTCGAGCCATGGGAGATGAATCTGCCAACGGCGCCAATGACAACAGAGATCGGTCACCACGAGGCCGTAGAAGACTTCGATCTTTGCCTGCTGTCGTAGATGCTCCTCATCCTAGTACCTTGCCTCCAGCCGTGACAACTCGATTGGAAGGACAATTGAATAGTATGACACAGTCTATGCTAGGTATGAATAGCCAGATCGTGACACTTGCTGGTATGGTGCAACAGCAACAAGAGATCATGAAGCAGGCGCAACAAGCTTTTCAGACACAACAGGTTCAATTGGATTCTTTGCGCGCTCAAGCCACACAGCTGCCGATTACACCCCGGAAGCCTCGGGATAGTCCATTCAATTTGGAAAGCCAACCAATGCCTTCGAAGCCGATGCCTAACGGAGGCTTGTCTTCGCCATTCGAAGCCGCTGCAGGGACAACCTCAGGTCAGCAAGCTTCGTCCGTCGGTGTTGCAAAGTTGGTTTTGCCAGATGGGACTTCCATACCATTAGGCTCATCAGGCGCCGCTCCAGCTGGCACTCAAGTGCCAGGTTCGTCATCTGGGAGTGGATCGCAGACTTCTCAGCTTGATGCACTACAAAGATCGGACAAGTGGCTGCCATCGATGCCAACGATCAACACATCCTCGTGGAAGACCAGGACGGACGAGATTCCGGGATATGAGAATTTTCTAGAATCGCTGACGTTGTGGCTGGGCTTTGTCTCCAAGAAGTTCAGTCAAGAAGTCAGGTTTGCAGCCACCTCGAAAACGGTCATTGAGCCTCACATGCTGTCAGAAGAGCAGAAGTCAAGGGGCATTCGCCTCTTGAACATCTTGCGCCAGGTCTTTCGAGATGTTCCCAGAGGCCAGAATCATCTTGATGGCCTACAGCGAATCCTATGGCGAGAAGAACGGATTCGAGGCCTTGAGATGGAGTGAATGGTCAGATCAAGACAAGAGATCATGCACTTCAGGAACAGCCTACGTTCAACAGTATTCAAGTCTGACAGTGTTACAGAACTGGTCAAAAGTGGTATCTCCAAAAGCGGTCTCGAAATCCAGGACTTAGCATGCTGTTACTTCGCTCACTTCCTCAACAGGTGCGCGAGTTTGTGACCATCCATGGTGCTTCAGATGCCTATGCCGATTTGAAACAGTCGGCGCTTCGTCGTGAAAGTAGTCAGCGACTTTGGATGGAGATTGGGGGTAGCACATCTCAATACCTGAATCAAGGTGTCTTTGAAAGGAAAGGCAAAGGCAAAGGAGAAGGTAAGCATCGTTCAGGTTCAAGCTCTCCGAACAAGGCTGATGATCGCAGCGAGAAAGAGAAGCAGTCAACTTGCTTTCGTTGTGGGAGAAAAGGGCACTTTCAAACCAACTGCCGAGCAAAGACCGACAAGGAAGGTAAAGCTTTGGGCTCCTGATTCGAAAGGGTCTCATCAGGACCCAAGTGTTTGCAAGAAAGGTGGAAAAGGAAAAGGACGGGCAGCTTAAGAAAGGCAAAGGAAAGGGCAAGGGCAAGGTTGCCGAGTTCATTTCAGAGGCACCAATGCAGCCAGAGAGCGAAACGTCGCCTGCTAAAGCTGCAGCTCAAGATCCGCCTTTGAATGCGCCGCTCACTCCTTTTGTCGCATCCAGCGCAATGCCGTCGTCTTGTTTCCGGACCATGTTGGACTTTGAGCAAGACACCATCCATAGTTGTGAGCAAAGCAACATTCGTTCCGAGGACTGGGGTCTTGAAAACTCAATGAAAGATGCGAGTGAACAGACGCGTATGTGTTTAAATCCAGAAAACTTGGTCCCTCTTCGGCTTGAAAGTTTTTCTCACGTTTGTCAAGATCCAAACCAAGTGGTGAAGTGTTTGAATGATAAAGATCTTTTTCGACCAAATGTTGATGCCAATGTTTATGCCTGTCAGTAGTCAATCAGACTCCAATGCAAATAACAACCTGTGGTTGATAGATTCAGGAGCAAGTGCCTCTGTTGTGAGCAGCCGTTTCATCTCTGACTATAAGGTGATCAAAGAAAAGTCTTTGGAAACCTTTGCCGATGGCTTCTCCTCGGCATCCGGCGAAACAATCCATCCCAGCAGTTTGGTTTGTATAGAAACATCTGCCCATATGATATCGCTTGTGGATCCCAGGGTTTCATGTTGGAAAGTGTGCCAAGTCACAGCTTTTGTAGCTGACGTTCCCAACAATGTCCTCAGTGTTGGCAGCCTGTTGCGTAGGGGATGGAAACTTTCAAACCTTGGTACTGATATGGTAGTCTCTTTTGAGGACTTCCGATTGGATGTTGTGACAGGGATGAATGTCGCTTGGATTCTCCATCACAAAGATGGGGAGCAAGAAGTTTCGCAGCATCAGCCCGGTGGAAGTTCGAAAGCTTCCGATTTGCCCTGAGACAACTTGGAGCAGTCGGCCCTCCGCCGGAAAACATGTTTGGTTTGCTGACAGCGTGCCAGATTTGGGAATCGATGACCGTCCTCTCTTGATGGCCAGCAAAAGGAAAGCACAAGTTGACCTAGGTGATAGTCTAGACAAGGAAGCCGCAGGTCCCTGAAGGTCAGAAGAAGCGGAAGTTGTATTTCAGCCTCAAGCAACCGAACCCACGGTTGTGGAACCGAACCGTTTTGTTCGTGTCTCAGACGCTGCCGAGCAGCACACTGGTTCCAGCATTTCCGTCGGTCCTTTGAAACAATATGAGCCCAATCCATTTCGTAGCAGTCAAGAGTTGTTCCCATTTCCAGATCCAGAATCTCAAGAGCCATCTCAAGCAGCCCCATCAGGTCTGCCAAACGTCGATCCGTCAAAATCTCAGCCGAAATCCGTAGAAGTGGTGAGTGATGAAGTCGAAGTAGGACATCCTTCAATCTTGAAGAAGAAGAATCGTGATAAGTTGTCCTTGGATGAACACCGGCATCAAGGTCATTTGCCTTTCCATCCAGATTGCCTCGCATGTGTGTCAGCCAAGTCCACAAATCAGCATCGTCGTCGTGGAAGCAAGAATTCTAGTGAGATTTGTGCCGATTTCTTTTTCTTGAAGAATGTCCCACCAAATTCCAAAGAACAATGGAAATTTTTGATCATGGTCGATGTTCACACGGGCATGAAAGCATGTGTTCCAGTCTTGCCTAATGTCATCAATACTCGAACATGGATCAAAAGTTGGATGAGTGAGTTTGGTCTCTCAGGTGGTGAATCCCGATACGCCTTGGAGGCGCTTACAGATGCTGAATCTTGGTCGTGACATTGTATTCTTCAAAGCATTGCCACAGAGCCATCAGACTGTGGGACACGCCGAAGGTGCCATTCGTATCCTCAAGGATAGTTTTGCCGCACTTCGCCGAGACCTGAGATCGGTTGGAGTTGACCTCAAGCTCGACAGCAGAACATGTTTGAACACCGCGTTGTTTCAGTAGCAATCGGAAGCCCTCGGCGTCCGAAAACAAAGACAACGAAGTCGAAGTCGATCACGCAAGCGCGAACGTGTTTCAGCTCGCAGCCATAGGACACTCTCGTCGTGAAACGGCTTAAGGGATCCCTCGAGGATCCAAACAGCGGAAAGTGGGAAAATGCAGGCAACGGACATGCTTCACATCCAAAAGGTGTCATGTCTTGGACCCTGAACCTGAGTCAATCACACACCCCAAAGTCTTTTGCCAAAATTGAGCAGTTTTCCGTTTTGCAGAGGTGAAGGTGGGATCATACTTCAAGGTCCAAGTGCCGTTGATCAGCGCATTGCGCAGACTGCTTTGGACTTGGTGCTTGGTCAAAGCATCTGCTAATTGTGCATGACTGTCGACCCATCGCGCGTCCGTCGCGCCTCACTCCAAACGTTCGCAGTTCAAGGGAGCTGTACTTCTCGGTAAGACCAAGACCGCTGGTGTTGATCATACCCTTTTGAACAGCGTCGTACAAGGACTTAGCATCAGTAACCATGGAACTTGGAACCTTTCGGAGGAGGTCTTCAGGGTTCTGGGGATCCAGCATGTAGCCTAGCATTTCGGCCCACTGCAGCCTACAAAACATGAGCTCCTCTTCACCTTCGCTAAAGGCCTGAACTTCAGCAGCTAAGCTGGATCGTGCAATCCTTCTGAGTTTAAAACTCTTCCATGAGATCAAGTGGATCTTGGCTCTTTGGCCTCGTCGGAGATCAGGGATGCGGCTGCAACTAAGTAGCCGCCCGTGCTCCCCAAGTCAATCCTATTAGCCAACGCTGCATCGGTCCAGCAAACAAACTCAACTTCTCCAGGAGAACACTGCAAATCCTGAGCTTTCGGAGAAACCATCCTACCGTTGTGAATCTCCCTCACCAACTT